CAACAATCACTCATGAATAAACATAATGTGCTGTATGTGAAACATATTTTATTTAGTACACTTTAAGAGCAAATATTACTGGGATATCCAGGAATTTATATTATTTGACACACTACTGCTGTGTACAATTTGGCCACAATTTAGCACACTGATCTACACAGACCAGGCATATACTAGGTTTCGACCTAGTGTTGCTGACTGTATTAAGACATACAGGCAAACAATACTCTACAGCCATGCTGGGCTTTGTGAGGCTGTGGTGCTCTGATGTAATTGCTCACATCAATACAGTAACATGCTCACAATGAATGTGCTAACCTGCTGATGTTTAGCAGGTATCATTTACACTCGTATTACAGAGTGACAGCAGATTTGGACTAACCTCGGACATGTACACAGTTAGTCATCAATTCATTAAATGCATGTCGTTCTGTGTGTTTTCGTGTTATGCATTTTTTGTGGATATACACAAACACAAATTGTAAACATTTAATCGGTCTTCAGTAATTAAAAGCTTTCTGACCAGTGATCATCATTTAGCCTACAAAACACACACACAACAACACACACACACCACACTATTGCATCAATTTGTGCCATCAGTATTAGTTTCAACCTCTCAATCTGTCAGCCTGTGAGAGAGGCGTACTGAGATCAGATCTTGTTTGTGTGTGTTGTGTGTGTGTGTGTGTGTGATGTGTTTAGTGGTGTGTTGTGAAGTGTAGTGAGGTGTGTGCAGTGTTGTGTTGAGCACTCCACGCAACATAAACCACCACCAACAGCCTGAGTAGTTTGTATTGGATTCACACCAGCTGAAACGTTTATTATGTCTTTCATGAAACAAAGATTTTTTTTTTTTTTATACTTGCAAGCATGGTGGACCCCTTCGGAAGGCCAGAGAGGAAATGTTTTTAAATTGGAATGCTCTTTAAAGAAATCCAAACAGTTCACTGCAGCAGCAGCAGCGCAGTGAAAAAATTAGGTCTTTAAATATTCCTGTGTTTACTAGCTCAATATTTCTGGCTAATCAGGCTGCAAGTGTTCGAAAGTCAGATGAAGCTGTATTACACAAAGAAAAAAATTTTTTGAAGAACGCATTTAAGAACAGAGAGATGTGGAATGAGTGGTTTAGTCCTAGAAACGTTTATGACCATATGCATATGTTTGCTTCGATTTCAGCTATTTACGGGCTCATGGAATAATTCTTACATGTTTTAGCTATGCATGACATATACTGTTTATTTTCTTCCTTTTTATTAGTCAAATAAGCAAATGGTTCATGCTACACAAAAAATAATGATGGTGAATATGGTAAAAA